TCCAACTCTATGATTCTATGATTCTATGATTCTATGATTCTATCTGCTACAACATCTGTCATGCCTGCTGCATTGTCTGCATAATTATTATTGAAAAGCAAGGGGTCCTGTCCTCTTTCAGGTCTTGCGTACCAAGGAACTAGTCTTAATATTGCCCACTAGAAGTCATGAGAGGCTAGCCCCTTTGCTTTCATCCCATTCTGTAAGTGTTGATCCCAAAAAGACTGTCCCCTCAGCAATGAACTGGCAACAGTGTCTCCTGCAGAGATAGGCCTTCTAGATTTTTTAAAGTGCAGTAGCCTGGTTTTTGAAGGAAAGGAAATAATCAAAACAGTACTGTATGGAGGCTGAAATAACAAGATTTCTCCTTCTTTCCTCTGCCAGAATGAATTTGTCTCAGCGTTCAGACAGGCTGACCGTCGGAAAAATGCCTTATCAGTGACAAATTCTGCCATGAAAGTCCTCTTCCAGCCAGACACTGATATCATTGAAGACCTGGCTGTTTTTTATGGGGGCATTGGTAATACAACTGTGAGTGCAAGGACTTCCTGCCTGAAACTCATAGGAAGGTATGGCAAAGTTCAGTTTCAGGAAGTCAAAACTGGGTTATATTAGGCAAGGCAAGATAAAGTAATGTCAAGTTCTGGCAAGGTGAGGGCTAATAGCCTTTGAACAGCCCCCCTTGGGAGATTCTCAGGATGACCACTAATACAAGGTCCAGATGTTCCTGTAGTAGCTGCAGTCTCATCTAGGTGTCTAGCTCTGTCTTCAGAGAGAGGAGCCTCTACAGTGGGTCTGGGAATCCTGTGGCCAGACAGGATAGCCAATGTTGAGGAATGCTGGGACTGTTTCAACAGCTGTTGATTCAGACTGTGCAAGGGAGACAGTGGTTCCATAGGGGCTTCCAATGTGGAGTCCATGGAGCCTGTCTGCAGCAGCATGACATCCTCAGGCCAGATGTTCTCATTCTTTTATGTGCACTTGGTAACACTTTTTTCTATCACATCTACTCTGCTCTTATCTATGCTGCTAAAATAAACGTCTTTTGCAATATAATGTGTCTCCCCAGAAACTGGAATGAGCAATTCCTCGATGAAGCTTGCAGACTAATTCTTGAAGAAATTGTCATGTCTCCTTCAGCACCGGGTGGAAAAGTGGAATACCGGCGCTCTCTGCTTGTCAGCTTCTTCTTCAGGTTCTACTTGGAAGTGCTACACGGTTTAAAGATGATGGTAAGGAGAATGGACCCTTTCATGGTCACATTCACATGGCAGATATAATAATATGGGTGGACAAAAAAAGAAGTATCCCTCTCCACAACAAATCACACCTTGCTCTCCACTTTTCCTACCCTATGACAGATCAGTTTCAATTCATGCATTTTTGTACACAATTTTTTCTGCACCTTTATACAAACAGATTGCCTTGTGTAAAGCAGCCCTTCTTTCCTATGCAACATGGGGATTCATTTATCTATCGCTTATTAAATTCAGTGACTTTTTAAAACCTATTTGTATCCCGCCCCTCTGTCAAACAATCGGGGTGGCTCACAGCAGTTAAAACTCCATACAGTATATTAAAATACAACCCAAATCCCAAAACCCTTCCACCCCTTAAAAAAGTATTAAACCAATAATA